TTCTTCAAATAGTCGCAAGTGTAAGTTGTGATGTATCCATGTTGTACAAAATCTGAAACGCATGTTTTAGCTTCTTGACTTGAAATCTTGTGTTGGACCAACTGGCATGTTGACTTGAAATGTTGTGTTTGGTCCAACTGGCATTGTAATATCTTCTCATGCTTCTCTTTAATGTCTTTTGAACCCATATCTATATTACAGGGGTAATAATAAACATTGTTAGTTGATAATGAACAAGGCTTGGATTTTTTAAGTGTAATTCGTCCTCCTTACCTCCCTCTACTCATCCTTACCTCACTCTACACCGTTTTATATTATTTTAAATTTAAAATTGTTGAAAATTGACTAGTGTGGTAAAATTTTAGTACTAATCTAATTTTTAATAAGATCAATGAAGATTATTTTTTTTTTAGTACAAGGAAAGGTAAAAGCTAAAATTTTTTTAAAGAAATCATCATGTACATCCGAGGGTAAGAGACACCCATGATATCGTCAGTGAGGAGCTGTTGGAGATCATTTGACACTTGAACATGAGAGTGGAGGCCAATTAGTAGAGAGAAACTAGCATTTACCAACCAATCAACGCATTTATTTCCTTCATGATAGACATGTTGGATCATGACTTGCCAATTTTACAATAGTAAGTGCTTGATCTCACGAATAAGAGCGACATATGCATTAGTGCCGTAATCCTCATTCGTAAGTAACTGCACCGCTAGAGTGCTATCCATTTTCATAATAATACTAAGAAACCTGGCATATTAAGCGAGTTGAAGACCATCGAAAATACTCCAAAGATCGACTTGAAGAATAGAGCATCTGCCAATCTTCCTACTGAAGTTTCTCAGGCAAACACCATCCTCATCCCTAATAAGTCTACCACAGCAGGCGAGATTGGTAGTAGCACGATAAACACCATCAGTGTTCACCTTCCATCAACCCCTAGGAGGTTTCTGCCATGCTAAAAGTTCTTTCAACCTATGCGCCATACCTAAAAGAAAATAAAGATTCATATTATTAGCTATAAAAGTATAATCAATCATGAATGAAACATCCTTAGCAAGCTCATTGATGCTGCTCTCACTCTCTTGGAAAATAAATTTATTTCTATGGTTCCACAAGCTCCAACAAGTAAGGCAAAAGGTCACTCTCCAATCCTGAAATGTCTTGCACCAAGGCGAATTGCTTTTTAGGTTTAGCACGAACCACTCATCCACAACACCAAAGAAGAACATTGATTGGGCTTCAGCAGGTATGATCTTCAACCATAACAGCTTAGCCACGCTGTAATTATAGAGAATATGATCCACATCGTCAATAGGGTCCCCACACTTACTGCATTTCCCAGTAGAGGACATGTGACATCGGTATCTCTCCCAATTCGTCAAGAGCTTCCCCTTAGCAGCCAACCGAAGGAACGTATACACCCGTTGAGCATCTGGCTAATGATAAATGTCTCTCCAATTCCTATCTGTCGAGTGCCAATGATCGCTCTCCAAGAGGGCGTAAGCCGAGCTAACTAAGAAATACTCAGAGCTCGTCATACTCCAAAAGTAAGAGTCTGAGATATTGTCATCTCCAGGGGTTGGTACTGCAGCCATCTGGAGCAGTGCACCCATTGGCAACACCTGGTGTAGGGCCTCCTAATTCTATTGGCCGAACGACACTACGTAGTCTTTGATACATCTATGGAGATCCTGTTCATCAATAGGTGCGAAAGCTAAAAGCTTAAATGGCTCTAGGTCCAATAATCTTCCCAAAACCAAACATTTATCCCCAATCCAATGGACCCTTTGATGCCAACTCGAAGGTCCATCTAGAGATGATTAAGGTTAAGCTTAAGATGGGAGATTGGTCCCGTCGGCTTGTAACTCTGTGATAAGGCAGACCATCTGTACTTGTGGGTGAGGACCTGGACCCATAGTAGATCGGGCTTCATAACCATAGCAAAGCCCAATTTCATCAGAAAAATTTAGTTTTGCTTGTGGATAGACCGAAGTTCACTTCCCCTAGCATTGTAGCGCATGCACATGTTAGTCCAACTGACAATGCTAATTTTTTAGTTGTCACTCCCGTGGCCCCAGACAAACTTCCTGACCACCGCTTCAATCTGATCACATAGGGATTTAGGCAAGGCCATGGTCTGCATAACATTAGCAGGGATAGTCATGAGGACAAA